CCCCGCGCCAAAAAAAAAAATATTATCATCAAACAAATAAAACCTGATCTTTTTAGCAAATAATTTTTTCACCTTATTTTCCGAAAAAACTTATGATTCTATACATATGGCATGCAGTGTATACACGACATGCATATTCTAAAGTTGATTTTGAGTGTTGCTGTTTCTTTATTCTAGCTGATAGAGTGAATGTTTCAAATGATTTTTATTGATTTTTCGTTTCTTTTTTCCTTCATTATTTGTATGGTTTTTAGATGCCTATATTTCTTTTAAAATTATCCTTGGAAGTATTTCTGTACAACATCTTTAAAAATGTACAAAAATATTATTCCTGTTATAAAAGAAAGACTGTAAAGTAAAGACAAGTATAGAGAGAAACTGATATATTATTCAAACTTCAAACTTACGTACATAATGAACTGAAAACTCCTCTATTTATAGAAGAAAGGAAGATGCTTGTAAGCTGCTAATGCAAGCTGTTGTGTAAGCTGCTTGTAAGCTGTTAATGCAAGTTGTTGTGTAAATTGCTTGTAAGTTGTTTGTAAGCTGCTATTGTACCAGATATAGATAATTTTCTACCGGAGTAATGTTTATTTATAACGGAATACCAAAATTATAAACTTCTTCAAGAGGCTTATTTTCAATAGATTACTAAATAGATAAACATATTTACGGCAGAGTCTCATTATGAATAAATTTTTTCAGGAAACTTATTTACAACGCAGTACTAAATGAACATCCATAATATAATATATTTATAATATAAGCTCAAGTATTCTATACTATAGTATCACTTCAAATTTTGTAAAAATGGCGTGTGGTAGCCACTAAATAAGGTGGTGTTTATTTTTTATCCACCAATTCTAATGTTGAGCAAAAAGAGCCACTACTCTATTAAAATTAATATGAAAAGATATTTTTACTCTTTCTTCTATTTTTTTTATTCCCAAACCCTTCCTTTATACGCTTCTCTCATTTAAGTTCAGAGCCAAAATTTCATAGGCAAAATTTCGCTCCCTCAATATTATTCCTGTATGCAACTCTCTTCTCTCGATTGAAGTTCAGAGCCAAAATTTTATAAGCAAAATTTTACTCCCTCAATATCGCTCCTGCCCAGCCCACAACAATTTTCTGCGTATACTTTGTCCAACTTAATCTCTTCTCCTTTGTCATCTTCTCTGCAGCGAACCAGCGTACTGGTATGTTTTCGATTTTGCTTTTATGTATTTTTCTTTTTGTATATCTCTAATCGTGATCAATATTGTATTTGTCATCAACTATGTGTGAAATGTCCAAAATAATGATTATAACTTGATTCGCTGAGGAATAAGGTACAGATTTTTGTGAGAAAGTTAGTGAGAACCTTCTGGTATTGAAATGTGTTTGTGGTTCAATCAATATATTGATTATGTAAGAACATTTCAGAAAAATAGTCCTAAGAATTTGTAAGCTAACTGTGTTTAGGAATTTTAGTTAACTGTGCTTCTATTAAAGATGCATCTAATTAGGTCCTGAATTTTATTTTTTTAGTTTAAATATTAAGGACATTTCAGAAAAATAGTCCTGCGAATTTGTAAGCTAATTTTAGTTAATTATGCTTCTATTAAAGACGCATCTAATTAGGTCCTGAATTTTAGTTTTTTAGTTTAAATATTATGGATATTTCAAAAAAATAGTCCTAAGAATTTGTAAGCTAGGTTTAGTTAATTGTGCTTCTATTAAAGAGGCATCTAATTAGGTCCTGGATTTTAATTTTTTAGTTTAAATATTAAGGACATTTTAGAAAAATAGTCCTAAGAATTTGTAAGCTAATTTTAGTTAATTGTTCTTCTATTAAAGATGCATCCAATTAGGCCCTGAATTTTAGTTTTTTAGTTTAAATATTAAGGACATTTCAGAAAAATAGTCCTAAGAATTTGTAAGCTAATTTTAGTTTATTGTTCTTCTATTAAAGATGCATCCACTTAGGTCCTGAATTTTAGTTTTGTAGTTTAATTATTAAGGATATTTCAGAAAAATAGTCCTAAGAATTTGTAAGATAATTTTAGTTTATTGTCCTTAACATTTTCACTGCACACATTAAAGTTAAGGACACCATGTCCTTAACTTTTACAATGCACATATCAAAGTTAAGGACACCATGTTCTTAACTTTTCCAATGCACACATCAAAGTTAAGGACACCATGTCCTTAACATTTTCACTGCACACATCAAATTTAAGGACACCACGTCCTTAACATTTTCACTGTACACATCAAAGTTAAGGACACCATGTCCTTAACATTTTCACTGCACACTGCAAAGTTAAGGACACAATGTCCTTAACTTTTTCACTGCACACAGCAAAGTTAAGGACACGATGTCCTTAACTTTTTCACTGCACACATCAAAGTTAAGGACACGGTGTCCTTAACTTTGCTGTGTGCAGTGAAAAAGTTAAGGACATGGTGTCCTTAACTTGGATGTGTGCAGTGAAAAAGTTAAGGACATGGTGTCCTTAACTTGGATGTGTGCAGTGAAAAAGTTAAGGACATGGTGTCCTTAACTTGGATGTGTGCAGTGAAAAAGTTAAGGACATGGTGTCCTTAACTTGGATGTGTGCAGTGAAAAAGTTAAGGACATGGTGTCCTTAACTTTGATGTGTGCATTATAAAAGTTAAGGACACCATGTCCTAAAGTTTATAAAACAGACTAATAAACTCTTTTTGATTGTTTACCTGTTGTTGTCGTCTATTAATACAAGTTGCAAAACAAAGGACACTTTATCCTTAATATTTTTAGAACAACAGTCATGTTAAGGACACCAAATCCTTAACATTATGTCCTCAATATTTACAAAACAATCACAGAGTTAAGGACGCGATGTCCTTAACGTTATCAATACAGAAAAAAGAAAAAAAATCAAATTCCTAGCATCTTATTCTTCAGTAACGAAATAAAAATCCACACAAACACACAAAAGCATATAGAGATATCTGAAACTTTAGAACTTACTGTAATTTTATGGTGAATTTTGGACGAGAAAGTTAAATTCTGAACTTAGACAAAAAGTTTGAAATTGGAAAAGAAGCTTCTGCAATTTTGGACGATCACAACAATTCTCTGCACGTAAGTTTGCACGTAAGTTTGAGCTGCTGCTGATCGTGAATAAGGAGCGTATGTATCAGCGAAATCCTATATAGAAGAAGGGTATTTTCGTCCGGATGAGTAAAAATTTATTAAAATAATGACTAAAGACTAAATATATTTAAAATAATAGCTTAAAAGTAAATACATATGTGTTGTTATTGGTTATCTATGCAGATCGCACTCCAATTTTGGTTACACAAAATTCAGCTTAACTCATCAGCAAACGCAAGCGAGGGGTTGTTTTGTCATTTTGTAAATTAAAAGAGACGCGTGCCACCGCTCTCGAGACACGTTCCACTTTGTATTTTCACTAACCCGAAAAGGCTCTATTCGTTGAATCAGAAAGCTCTAGAAACCTCAAAACCCTCACACTTTGAAGAATTCCCTTTTTATTTCGCCCGAACCTCAAAACTAAACTTCTCAATTTGCTTTTGCTTATTGGAAATCAGGAAAAATGGCAACGTTCGAGGAAGCACCGGCAGGTAATCCCAAAGCCGGAGAGAAAATCTTCAAAACCAAGTGCGCTCAGTGTCACACCGTCGATAAAGGCGCTGGTCACAAACAAGGTATCTTTCTCTTACACACAGACACACAGTAAGATTGAGTGTATCGCTGTTTTTTTCTGCTGTTTCTTTGCATGAATTATTATTTTCTGAGTTTCTATGGTGTTTATGGTCTTTTTTTTAGTTCACCGCTTATCATTCATCATGGATCTGAATTTTCTGTGTAGTAGATTCACGTGTCATACTGATTATAGACTTGTTTGATCGTTACTTTTATATATTATGAGTATTCTGTTATCATTTTTTTTGCATGAATTTTTGTTTGCTGAGTTCCTACGGAGCTTTTACTCTTTAGTTGATTTGCTGCTTCTTATTCATCGCACGGTTGCCCTTTTATAAGTGGATTCACATGTGAAACATCGTTCCTTGTGGATTTAACTATTTGGTTTGGAATTTGAGGTGGTGGGTATGTTGGTTTGATTTTCCATGAATTTATACCGACTGCTAACGCGGCAGTGTTATTGAGACCTGACATGTAGCAACAACAACAACGACCCAGTGAAATCCTACTAGTGGGGTATGGGGAGAGTAATGTGCTCTGTTTTAAAAGGCGTTTCTGGTGCGAGCCCCGGGGCGAGGCGTATCAAAAACGCCCCAGGGCGATGGTGTGGGGCGAAAGTCTCAAGAGGCGTACGCCCCGCAATTTGAGGCGTACGCCCGGGCGTTCGGGGCGCATTTTTTTAGTAAGGAGTAAGCCCTAGAGACTTTTTCAAATTAAAACAAAATTTGTTGAATTAGTCCTTCATGTAATACCCAAATTTTTAAAAGTCAGTTTGGTAATTACTCAAAAGGTTTAAAAAGGAACTCAAAAGTATTAAATTTAAAAGTAAAGACCTTTTTTATTGATTTAAGCTCTAATTCATGGTTTTCCCAATTTTTTATCTTGTCTGCTAGTCTGCTAATATCTCCCAAAAGCAACGAATATTTAATTTTTTTTACAAATACAAAGAGAACTACATTTTTCTTCATAGCAGCAAATCCAAAGTTCAAATTGCAGGTTAATCATCCTTTTTGTTCCTCCATATAGAAAACTTTATTCTTTTAGATTCAAATTACTTGTGCTTGTAAGTAACGTATAATAAATTGTTTGATTAGTTTTTTGTGGGGATGGAGCACACATATATATAGTTTTCTTCAATTTTTATGCAATTTTACCTGTTTATAAATATTAACTGTCATTATATTATTTTATAAAATATTAAAAATTAAATACCTATGGGGCTTACGCCCCGCTGAGGCATATGTAAAACGCCCCGCCTTACGCCCACGCCTTTTAAAACACTGATCACGTGTACGCAGATTTTACCCTACCCCGAGGGGTAGAGAGGCTGTTTCCAAAAGACCCTCGGCTCAAGAAGACGGAAAGAGGTAATATATCAGTACCATCAATAAGCCATCAATAAAAATCATAGAAAAAAATAACATCGCAAGAACAAGGAAATAGATGGAAAGCAAAACAATAACCAGTAGATAAAGCCCTACACTAAGAGAAACGAAAGAGTAGTGAGAACTCAACACTAACCACTAGCAGCCTAAGACTAAATACTAACAGACTAGCCTCACTCTGGTGCGCGGTAGAAATATCCACAACTACCTCCTAACCTACAACCTTAATGATCGACCTCCACAACTTCCTGTCTAGGGCCATGTCCTCGGTAATCTGAAGTCACGCCATGTCTTGCCTGATCACTTCTCCCCAATAATTCTTTGGCCGCCCTCTACCTCTCCTCGTACCCACCAAAGCCAGTCACACAGACCTGACCTGTAGCAGCATTAAGGATTAAACTGGTTTAGGTAGTAGGAGGAGAGGGGGAGAGAGGGGAGAAGAGGAAAGGAGTTAACTTCACGAGAGAAAACCAGAAAAGTAAGCCATATGGGAGACTTTTTAAATAATTTTTTAAGTTTCTGCAACTGAGGATGCAATTAGTGAATATTCCTTGTCACCAGGTTCCTTGGATGAGGTTTTCGATGGAGTAAAACTCAAAGTCTATCCGTTGTTGGAATTGGTAACCCTGTGTCTATGTTATTGGTGTGATGTGCCGTTCTCCATGTGTATCCTTATTTGCTTCTAGAATATTAACTACATTTGTAGAACTAATTTCAGGAGGTGGTGATAAGTATATTGTTAGGATTGGAAATCCGGGTAGTGCGTAATTTAGCCAAACGTGATAATGACAATAACAAAGACAATGCAAGTTGATGATAACAATAATTAAAGAAGATAAAGAAGGCACAAAATTTAACGTAATTCGGTCAAGAGTGGAGTAATTTCACTATAACAACCGGTACACAAAAGAGTATACATAATTAGGGATGAAACTCTAATTATCCCCAAATATATCCCAAGAGAATAACCTCGCTACAATCTCTTACAAAGAAGAGGTTCACTCAAAGTGTTTCCCAACACTAACTTTATGGAATATAACAAAACTCTCTATTACAAGAATACTCAAAATGAGTTTCCAATCAAAGTAAGACCATATTTACAGGGTAAAGTTCTTGATCCCCAAGTAAAAAAAAAAGAATTAAAATTAATACTTTTATTCTTTGGTTTCAAGCAAGAATGTTTTGGTTCCAAGTTTGAAAACTGTGACTCCAAGTTTGTTTTGACTCCAAGATTAGCTATGGACAAATTTAGGCTATGTCTTACGAATCTTCACCTTGGCCTAAATTGGATGATATAGTTATTTTACTACACCTCCAGAAAAGCCCCAATGGACTTATGTCAAAATTTAATGCCGTCAAAATGACAAGTGACGCTTGCTCAGTTGGTAAAAGCAATTCCACCTACGACCGTTAGGTCCTGGGTTCGAGTCACAGTGGAGGGGAAGTGTGAAAACCAGTGTTGTAAATAGCGAGCGCTACAGCGCTAATAGCGTGTAGCGACGCGAGGCGAGACAGCATCGCTATTTTGGTCTGTTGCGTTGCGAGGAAGAAAAGGCGAGCGCCTCTGCATGTGTAGCGAGAGGCGCTGCGAGGCGTCGCTTGTTGAATAAAACGGAAGAAAAGGCAGCATTAATATTAAAACACAAAATTAGGGCTTGGGTTTCACTTTTCTCCTTCAGCGACGAGCAGCGACCTTCTTCTTCTCCTTCAGCGACCTTCGATCTTCTTCTTCTTCTTCCATCATCGATGATATCATCACCAGGTATGTTACTTTCTTTTCTTTTCTTCTTCTTCTCCTTTTTTCTTCTACTTTCTTCTTCCTCTATTTGAGCAGCGACTTCTTCTTTTTTTTTCTTTTTCTTCTTCTTTCTTCTTTCTTCAATCATTCAATGATCAGCTCTTTCTTCTTTGTTTCTTCATTTTTCTTCTTCTTTCTTTGCTGATTTCCAGAGGCAGTAGCCTTTTTTTTGGCTCTGTTTTTCTTCTTCTTTCTTTGCTGTTAGTTTCTTCATTTTTCTTCTTCTTTCTTTGCTGTTTTTCAGAGGCAGTAGCCTTTTTTTTTGCTATGTTTTTCTTCTTATTATTAATATATTATTGTTATTTAGTTTTTAGTTATATGTATATAATATTTTATGTTTTTGTATAAATTGTCGCTTCACATAAAAAAGGCGAGCGCTTCGCTGCGCGCCTCTCGCCTCAGTGAAGCGGGCCCTCGTCGCTATTTGTCGCCGCACGCTATCCAAAACACTGGTGGAAACACTATAGATCCTCCTAATTTGGGAGGGGTTTAAAAAAAAATGCCGTCAAAATCAGACAAATGGAACTTTAGTAGTGCATGTAATAGTAGATCCCAATAAAGTATACAACGAACCATATCTGCGTGCTTTCATGATTACAAGAGCACCTTGAAAATTTTTCAGAATTCCACCTTCACCAGTGAATTTGCACCCAAGAGATTCTATTGTGCCCAAAGAGATGAGATTTTTCTTGAAGTCAGGAACATATCTAAATTCGGTGAGAGTTCTCACCACACCATTGTGCATTCTAATCCAAATTGTACCTTTGCCAATAACGTTATAAGTAGCATTGTTAACCAATTGGACAACTCCACCTTCAACTGAATCATATGTAGAAAACAAGTCCTTGCTAGGACACATATGACACGAACAACCGAAATCTGAAAATCCACTCATTATCATATCTGAAACTAGTTTCAGTTGTTAAAAATATAGTTTCCTCAATCTCATCAGTACCAATTTGTTATCTTTTTTAGAGTCATATTGGCTATTGAAATTAACTCGGTTAAATCCTCACTGATACCAACTTGTTAGGACCGGGAACTCGGGTAGTGCGGAATTTTGCCAAACAACGTTATAATGACAGTGACAAAGACAATGCAAGTTAATAACAACGGCAATTTAATTTTGACATAAGTCCATGGAGGCTTTTCTGGAGGTGGAGTAAAATCGGTGGAGATTTGTAAGACATAGTCTATATTTGTCCATGGCTAATCTTGGAGCCAAAACAAACTTTTATTCTTTGGCTCCAAGCAAGAATGCTTTGGCTCCAAGTTTGAATACTTTGACTCCAAGATTAGCCATGAACAAATTTAGGCTATGTCTTACATATATCTTTAAGTTTTTTTTATTGGTGTTAATATGTCCATAAGATGCACAGTTTCGGTTGATATATGCTACATTAATTATAATGAAATGGTATATCTGTAGTTGTTAGAAGTCAAAGGTGGATTAAGGTGCCACAGTGTACTATTTGAGATGCACGTGCATGATTTTGCCTTATAAACGTGGATATTATAAATTTTTAAACTGCAGATTTCAGGGGAATTAGCAATTGAAAATATCTGCTATATTTTCCAAATTGTGCTAGACTGTGTTTAAGGAATCTATAATTTATGATTTTATATCGTGTCTACCTCTTTTTTGATTTGGAATATGGGAAGGGAAAGAAAATAAAATAGTGGTGTTGAGATATGGAACTTGCTCTTTTATTTTCACTCCTTTTTAAGAGTTGGACGAGGATAGGCATGTGTCGGCGGATATCTTCTGTAATAGTTCGCCCTTTTAACTTAATTTTAGCCGTGCTAGCAAGATATTCATTCATCCTCAGGTGTGCACCATTATGGAATTGTCTTCAAGTGCTCGGATTGTGCATGTATGATAGTTGAGGTATTTCATGGGGCATAGCAATCAATATTTGTGTGGATCTGTTAAGCTTGTTATAGTGATTTTCGATTTTCATCCTCATTGCCTTCTTCGATTCTGCTGTACTCTATCAAATGGTTGATACTTGAGCACACAATTTACTTTATGCATTTCCCCCCTCCTGCATATAATTTTGCAGAAGGGGCAGCGATTATTCTGCTTTCCGCATGTTCTAATTTTCTAACATGTCCAACTTTTTCCAGGACCCAACTTGAACGGTCTCTTTGGAAGACAATCTGGTACAACTCCAGGTTACTCTTACTCTGCTGCAAACAAGAACATGGCTGTGATCTGGGGAGAGAATACGTTATATGAGTACTTGCTCAATCCTAAGAAGGTGAGGGTCATCTTTGTTTGTGTATGACTTTTGTTTAGTGGTGTGGTGAGAGGTTTTAGTGCTTCACATATGTGTTCTTACCTGTATGTTTTCTCACATGTGTGTTTTGTGTTCTGTCATTCTGTGTGCTTTTCCGTCCTACTTAAAGATAGTTTTGGTGGATTTCAGTTGTCTGTATAATTATATCTATTATCCCAATTTGTCTGACCAACATTAGCTCTTTTTTCTGTGCTTTTTTCCTTACCGTGCAAAAAATGATATGCCATTTAAGGTCCAACTGTTATGAGTCTCACACATCTAGTCACTGATCATTTGGATTGTTTCTCAAGTCAAGTCCCGTTGTGATTTGGCAGCCCCGTTATATTGAGTCTTCTATTTGAATATTTTATTGCGGAGGCATTGGTGATCAAGAACGAACGCCTTGTGGGGTTCTTTCTGGCCATGGATAACTTTTAAGGGTTTAATACGTTACAAAACATCTTGGCCATTAAAATAAAAGATATTCCTCATCTCTGAAGCAGCTGTTAGATTTTACTTAGCCTCGTAATTCTTGTTCGTTAGTTTGTGATGGCATTTTCGTCTTCTTGAGTTGAGGGTCTCTCGGAAATAACCTTTCTATCCCTCCGGGGTATGGGTAAGATCTGCGTATACTCTATCCTCCCCAGACCCCACTTGTGGGATTTTACTAGGTTGTTGTTGTTGTTGTAGTTTGTTATAAGATTCGAGTCTCTAGACTGCGTCAGTTGAAATGAATGAAGGAGGTCCAGAATGGAAAGATCCAGCAAAATAGGTGAACGTAATGAGGAAGAGGAATCGAATGGGGCAGCCCATCCTGGTATTTAACTCGCAAATAACCAAGGGGGTAAAGCTTTTAGGAAGACCTTCCTGGCATGTAGTAATCGGGGATCCCCAGCTTCTCTCGGTCACTCCTGGGAAGCTGAGAGTTGATGAGCAAGCGAATGAACCATGTTCCCTTAAAAAAATGATCCTCTTTGTTCTGTTTCATCTCTTCAATATCTTAAAAACCATTCTGCAGGTCGGGTGTTGGTACTTCATTAATCTAGTTAAAGTAAGGCTCTTTTGCTGAGTGAAGCTGCTAGACGATTTAAATGGAGATCATGCATACTGAAGCACAACTTATTGAAATAAAGCTTCAGCAGGCAAAGCAAGCTTTTCCCTTTGTTCTTAGGTTTTTAGTGTTTAGATACCATAAATTCTTGGAAGTCAGTTTGTCAGCAGTGGCGGAGACAGGATCTCCGCTAAGGGAGTTCAAAAAAGAAAAAAGTTAAAAAATTAAAAGGGACTGTGGCCAGTAGGAATTAAACCAGCAACCTCACAAAGGTTTTATCACTGAGCTATGCTTTTGGGCTGTGACAAGGGGATTCAAAATATAATATATTGAAGCACAAAACGGATGTTGCCTTATATGTATAGTGTAATTTTCCGCCGAAGGGGGAACCCACTTCCGCGCCCCTAAATCCGCCCCTGTTTGTCAGTGCTGCACTTGGATTTTTTCCCCCGGTTCTAACAAGATGTCACAATGATATCCAAAAAGATGTCTAATACTTGCTGGATTAGTCAGGTTTAAGGTTTTTGAATGTCATTTCCTACTCGAGCAAGGGAGGTGGTATCAAGATATTGCTAAGACGTGTGAACATGACGGGATAAGTAGAGAGCTTGAGCATTCAGGAAATTTTATCTTTATCTAGCAGCATTGTCCCGAGGTTTATGCTCTTTCAGCAGAAAGTTGATGTCCAAAACCTGAGATCCTAATCTTGGAAGTGAATTAGAGATATTTGCACCAGTAGACTCGAGAAATTTTGAGTACCAATTTGTAATTAATGCTCTGCACTAGTTTGAAATGCTTTTCACCTCAAGATGGCCCGAAATGCTTACAAGTCAGCTTCTAACTATGGGCTTAAGAAACATTGAAGAACATTTTTTTGGTAGTCCCTCAATTGCTAAGTGTCTCCTATGGATGCTAAAGGTGTTAAAATTGGACCAATTCAGGATGGAATAAGACCATAAAAAATGGAGGTTGTATAGTGTGGAATTAGAGTGAACTTTTACCCCTTGATCATCTTTAGCTTTTCACACTCAACGCCTTCGACTTTGTTGTTTACATAGTTTCTTTTTTGATTAAAGTTTTGTTGTTTACATAGTTGAGGACTTGAAGCACCCATAGATGTATGTGATCAGTTTTTGTCATAATGTGCATTTAAGGAACGTAAAAAGAGGGAGGTCAGAATGGAGTCTAGTTGTGTATTTTTTTGCTATGTCTGGTATTCCATTTGGTGGAGTTGACAGGGGGTCAATGAGACTGTCTTATTTTAAAAATAAAGTACTGTGGGAAAACTATATATGAGGGTGCGAAATTTTTGTTTCTGCAGGTAAAAAGGTAGTCAAAATCAATTGCTCTGGTGTGAAGTGACTGTAAATTGATCCTCTGTTTAATTGCAAATTTCTTGTGTTTATCATTTTCTTGCTTTGCATGGTCGATGTTCTGTAATTCTTTTGATGTGGTATTGACATTAGCAACAAATTGAATGTGCTAGGATTATGTTGATATTTGTTTTTCATCAGCACTATGCTTATCATCTGAGGTGTTTTCTGTACAGTATATTCCTGGGACGAAGATGGTTTTCCCTGGGTTGAAGAAGCCACAGGATCGCGCAGATCTAATAGCTTATCTGAAGGAATCAACTGCATGAAGATCTCTTTGGAAAATCATTATATTTTTGCTAGTGTTACACATTTTATATTTTTAAAGTCATCCTTTTGCCGATCAAATAACACCACATACTTTATCATGCCATTCTTCTGGTTGTGCAAGCCAGTCTTGAGGAATTTGGTCAAGAGTTTGTCATTTGAAGTCTTTTCAAATCTTTACGAAATCATGAATGTGTTTGGTGTTTGGAGCCAGTTCGTTGTGAACAGCTTTCATATCGGTCATCGGTTGTACCTTAATTGCAAGGAGGGGAGTATAAACTTATCATAAGGGGGTGTGGTGTTAAACACGAATATACTGCAACGAATCCGATTATCGGTTTTCAATAATGAAATCCATTTTCTTCTGCTAAGTAAGCAATAAAGCAAGATAATTCATGTTACTTATGTCTTCCTTTTTGCTAACTCTATCAATCTTTTTCATTATGCTTTTACTATGGTGTAAATATTATCGCCAATATTTACTGCTCAAAATTATCACTCTGCCTCTAGCTTTATCCTCACCGACGACTACGTACATGCAGCAATATTCCCATCCACCAAACACTAGATATAACTTTTCTTTTCTCTAGAGAGAAAAAATAGGTTTTGTGTTGTAATGATCAGCAGCTAATAAGGTTGCCTAGAAAATTAAGAAAGTGGGACCACAAAAGGCATCTTAATTCTTAAAGATAAGGTGGGAATAAGTCGATGAAAGGATGCTAGTATAAGAATAAAACTAGTACTAGTATACTAGCATCTGCCGTCCAAAAAGTTGCACGTATGATCATGGCAAATGACACATTCATTAAATTGAACTTACAATTTTTGTGGTCATAAACTCCCGTGAGGATTCAAATTCGACGAAACTAACTATATATCTATTTATATCTATCTACGCTATATTGAAAATACGAAAATTCTTAGTGAAATGTCATTCATTTTTTTTATCCTTTTTAAAATGAAGTTCACATTGGACAAATTTCTCTAGTATAATAAAGAAAGCTTAATAATCCTAGCACCGAAGTTAGTCCTCAAGCATCTTATTGTCAATATTTATATATTTAAAAAAAAAAAAAATTACCCATTGAAATAGTGTACTCATATCTCATAAGACTAGTTTAACGGAAAAGAGAACTTGGATGTTTCATGGAGTGCATGATTTGCTTCTTGGATTTTCCTTTTTGATTTGTCTGAAGTTGTCTTGTCTAAAGAGGCAAATAAGCAAAACGTCACAAAAGCAGCCAAAAAGAAAGGGAAAAAAAGGAAAATCTTATATGATTCTTCTGGTGGGAGGTTCTTTTTTTACTTTCTTGGCAAATGTAATTTTCAAGTCCGCTGTACAAAAATGCATCTCGAGATCAAGTGTAATCTGATACAAATAACGTCATTTGGTTAATCGTTAAAGCAATGAAAACTTGTTATTCAAATGCAATTAATATAATCTTTACTTGAATAGTCTGATAAATAAAGAAGTTTTTTCCCTATCTTTTCTTTTGTATATTACAAACAACAAGTTGAAATTTAAAAAATATACACTCGTGGCAGTATGTCAGCCATGCCTCAATATTTAAAATGAAAAGAGTAGGAATATACTCGTGGAGTGACTATATTAGAATTACATATACTCCAAAAGTTTATTAAAAAATTAAATATTTTGTAACACCTTAATAGTTTGCACCTAGTACCCTCTTCCCCACCACATTACACATCGTTGTCAACTTGAAAAAAGTCTAAAATCATAGCTCACTTTTGATTATAGATTGTAGTTGCTTATTTTCAAAAACAATTTGAAAGCAGTGTTTTTTATGGACTATGATCAGTTTTTGAAAAAAAAATTCAAGTACCAATTTTTAGGTAAAATTTGTTCTTCTACTCACAAAACTTCATTTTTTTTCCAAATAAAATGTGTATCCAAAAATTATTTTTTAATATAATTTAAATTTTTTTTAATTTTAATTTAAATTTCAACTAAATCTATGTCCAAATATTAGCTAAACAATTGGTTTAACTAAAGGTAGGGACTAAATAATGTGTTGGGATAGCTAGTAAAAAAAAAAAAGGCAAATAAGTAGCACTCCTTAGTATAATAGTTGCGACTTGCGAGATAGTGAAAGGGACTGATTCAGAAATGAAAGAAGTTAAGGGGCAAAACTCAAATTAAGAACTTTGACTGAGAGATTAAAGAGAGCACATAAAGATCCGCAAATAGCAGGAGAGAATACGCAACGTCTATTCCATGCTTCTTGGATTCTGAATTATGACTGATTCACTTGCTTTTTCAGGTTAGGGTTCTTTCTGATCATCTATTTCATTCTGTGGACAATCCATATGTTGTTCATGCATTTCAATTCAATGCTGATGAATAAAATAAATCTGAATTTAAAACTTTCTTTTTTGGCAGCTTTCTTTTTCTTTTTTAAATCACGTTCCTTATTTGACTTCTGAATTAGTAACATTTGATGCTTTAATTTTGAAATCGGACTTCTCAGTTATGATATATTGAAAATACATGTGCTGATCAACTAGTGGAAGTGATTTGTATTCAAAACTATATATAGGTAGATTTAGCGAAGGTGTGCGCAAACTGGCCCACACACTACTGTCATAAAAATAACTGAATAAATATGATATTTATACTGAATATTTTCATTTATTTTTTGATAAAGTATCCATAGTATGATTTTATTGAAAGAAAAGGAAATTTGCAAATTGCAATGAGAAATGAAACACTGACATTTCTGATCGTCAGAAAAATTGGAACTTTCTTGTTGGATTGCCGGTCGTCAAATATTTTTTTAACTGAGTGCACTGTTTCTAGACCATTTTGGTGATGTCTGCTTGTAAACAGTCTCTTTGCATAAATGCAAGGAAAGACTGTATAGGGTATGTGTCCACTCTCTTCTAGCTCTCTAGTCGGGGAGCACTTCTTAGGCGAGATAAGCCACATTTTGGACTAGGAATAATAAGTGCTTTTAGGATATCAGAATCATGTAGAAGAGTAGACTAGAATTTAGTTGACACTAAAATCAAATACTTTTCCTGGAATAATAAGTGGTTTTGTGTACTCCCGTTTTGGAGAGTAAAGCCTTCGTGGCATTTTGTTGGAGATTAAAATCTACGTGATTTTTACTCCAGTTTGAAAACGTTTATTAAACGTTTGTTTGTGTCATTCTTTTACAGAAAACAAATGACGACTGAAAGCGAAAACCAAGCTGTTCCGACTTCCGACGGTGACTGCCAACGCATCGACAAGCCGAACACCGGCGTTGGCACCGGCAGAAAAACCCGGAAAATTTTCCGGGATTGATTTCAAGCGCTGGCAGCAGAAGATGTTCTTCTACTTAACTACGTTATGTCTACAGAAGTTCATCAAGGAAGATGTTCCTGATCTACCAGATAAAACTCCAGAGAATGAACGCTTT